GTGTGTGTGTGTGTGTGTGTGTGTGTGTGTGTGTGTGTGTGTGCTCAATTGTGTTTGGAAGCAGAAAGCAGAACAGAAGCCAGTGGCTTTTTACACCTTGTGGTGCAGGAGTGGCGACAGACGCTACAGGCTTCTGGTTCAAAGCAGCTGAAGGAAGTAGGGGGAGAGGAGGTTTAAGGGGACCCCTTTCGTTCTGCTGACCCTCAGACCGGCTAAGCCCAGAGGGATTGAGCTCTGGTACTTGGTTTAATCAGACAGAATGGGACCGCCATGGGATACCCCATGTCTTCAGCACCTGGGTCCAGTAGGAGGTATTTTACACAGCGATGCTCTCATCTCAGATCATAAGTCTTCCTGTGCACAGAAAAAGATCAGAGGAGCATCAATGAAAAACACTAGAGGCCATTCAGACTTTCCAATTTTGAGATGAATTTGAGTTCTTTCCAGCCTCATGGGTGTTATTTTTGATTATAGGCCTTTGGTGCTATTAACTTTAAAGCTAATTATGACAATTTATTAGTCTTTGAAACTGAAAACTTTTTATTAGATCTCAGTCTTTTCTTGCCATATGAAGATCCATAAGGTTTACTGCGACCTGTTCAAAATGATAACTTGAAGATACTACATTCACAACAGTTTATTTATAAATGTTTATGAGGCTAAGTCATGGAGCCAGCGTCACTGGATTTTTTAAAGCCCATAAAACCATATTTCTGTTCAAGCTGTTTGTAGGATGTTGTACGATAGGACAGTTGGTACTATTCTAGAAACAGTACTGTCCAGAATCTGTTCTGAAGCCTAAATATAGGTTTTAATGTCAAATTGAAAACTAACAGCATGTCATTTGGGTTCTGCATCCTACCTGCAAACAAAAGTGTTTTTAAAAAAGTGTGCAAGTTGAACATWATTCACATTGGTAACCCTACAACCAAGAACTTTCATCTGCACTGAGTTGGTTGAAAGTAAATTGAATTATTTACGACCATGAAACTGGGAAACATCACACTTCTGCTGTAACGGAAGAAGAAATCTATGTGAAGTTCTGGCTTCTTTTAAAAGCAACATGATTCCATACGCTGCTTCATATGACTGCTGTCATCAAGCCCCTTTGGTCTCAGGGTACAAAGAAATACTCTTAAAGCTCTTTGGGCCTTTTGACTTTTTATGCTTCTTTTGAACTCTCCATTTCAACTGTGACTTTTCCGCATGACCCCCAAGCCTCGGCGTGACCTCCACCCCCCAACCCCCCGCGGCTGCAGCGGTCTGGAACCACCAGGGCTCCTTCACACGTACCCACACACATACATAAAATGAGAAGTGGCAGTGCTGCTGAGTTAGGTCAGGATGTAATGCGCAGTAATGTTCTGCCCTCAAGGCTCCTGTCCACGGYACCATCGCCTGGTTTTAAGTAACCTTTCCCTTAAAGAGGCACCTTGGTGTGTCTCAGGCACCCAAGCACAGGGGAGCAGTAGTTAATGAAGTGGCTAAATAAATAAGAGTTACAGTACACGGCTGGGGTCCAGTGGAGTTTTCATTATTGCCAGTGCTTTTAAAATTCTCCTGTCAAGACTGTGGCCGCCCCAATTCAACAGAAAAATAACCAAACAAAACAAGCTATCACATCAAATCTTCATCTTGAGGCAAAGTCCCGGCTACAGCGACTGCCAAATTAACCTCCTAACCAGCCTCTTAAAACACCTTTCCTCTGTTCTTTCTTCTAACGTGCACACACGGCTTCATTTTTATCCAGCAACTACTGTTTACCTCACCTTTGTTACAAATTATCTCCACCTTCTCGATGGAGCCACGGCTCTTCCCTCACTTCACTCTCCAGGGCTTCATCTCTTTTAGTCTCCTTCTCTTTCTCTCACAAAGCCTCCGAGTCCCACGGAGAGAGAGAGCAAGGCAGAGTAAGGGGGGGGTGGTGAGGTTTGACTTGGTGCTGCTTTGGGGCTTTGAAGTGTGTGTTGATGAGAGAAAGTGGAGTACTGTGTTCAGACAGGCCCCTAATGAGGGAATTAAGAAGCTACGCCAGCCCGTTCCCCATACTAACTTCCCAGGCACAAAACAAGACAAGTGAGCATGTGTGTGTGTGTGTTCACAAGTGTGTGTCCGTGCGAGTCTAAGAGAAGGCCTAATCTGTCAGACTTAATCAGCCATCTAACAGTCGTACCTCTCACCTACAGTAAAGAAGCAAAGCTGGCCTCAGCATTCGGAGCGTTACAAACATGTCCTTGAGCTGTGAAGTTTCTTAACTTTAAAAGATTAACTTAGAGGTTCTTGGAGAGAGAGGGAGAGATCAGATCTTCTGAAGAGAGTGTCTGTGGAAAAGGTTATGACTAATTCATAACTTATCTGTTGTAGATTTGAACGGCCTCAGTTTAAAGAAACAGAGTTTAGCTTTGACCGGACTGACAAGCTAATGCTAGTCCCAACAGGACCAATAGGAATATTTCTGCTGGAATAAGTGTGTAATGCAAAACTGACGGTTTATAAAACAGCATTTGTATAAACCACTGTGAGGTTTTGCAAATAAAAGTTGCCCATTAGCTCAGGCTATKGCTCAAAACGCTATCTTCAACAGGTAAGATATTAMGTGTTCATTACCTCTCCACAAARCCTCACTTTAAAGGCTCTGAASTGTGGCTTWAACATTTGTAGCTCGTGCACTTACGATAGTGTGAGTCTAGGTAGCCGTTGCGAGGGTTCGTAGCAAACAGCGTGCCCCTGTACGGCAGGGCATGCTCGGTCAGATGAGGCAGGGAGCCGTGCAGCTCCTTCTTGAGCAGGGACGGGTGTTCCTCCGTGGAGGTGGAGGGTTCTTCGTTTACGCTCCTGTCACGAGCACTGGGCGCTTGAGCCTGGGAACTGATGGCATTGCGCCTCTCACGGTGGTACGGCGTGCCTGAACTTTCATCTTCTGTAGATACCAAAACGAATAATAGAAAAGAAAAAAAAAGAAGGTAAACAAAACCAAGTGTTAAAGCWGCACATTTTTAAAGAAAATGTTGTCTAGACACATATACAGTATTATGATCACACAAAGGATAAAAGCGCATAAATAGAGGAAATTTAAAATCTAGCAAACTGCCATATTGGGTGTAAAGCTGGCAGAGTTTGTCTTCCACAGCACCAGATGTGAGAGTTCAGAGGCAGAAAATGTTTAAGCAAATGGATTTTATGAATTAAGAAGTCCACGTTTTTGGATTCCACACAGCTGAGAAAATGTCCTTACTCTAAATTCAGYTCTGTCTGTTCTTTTTAGGAATGGCTTCTCGTGATTGTGGAAGGCATTTTGAGCATCACCATTCTTCATTCTCATTTTATTCCCCTCCCCACCCAATCTCTTAAAAACAAAATCRCTTTTTCTTCAAAGGGAAAATAAGAAGAAGTGATGTCTTTAAAAGGTTCGTGGCATGCCTTGTAAAAGGAATAAATCTGGAGTTGAGCTCAAGGCCTGAAATCCACCAAAGAAATGTGGCCTCTGGCCTTTGTCATGACCTCTGAACTATAACCAGCACAAGGGTCAGCTAGCCTCTTGGCCTCATGCTAGTCATTTCAGTAGTTTAATGGCTTGAGACTGTCTCAGAAAGCAGCATGGWGTGTCTGGCATTCTTTTTTTATTTTCCCATTTTTGAGAGGGTCATTTTGAAAGAATTTCAGTTGGAAAAAAAGGTGCATGTCCTCATGACTTAAACATGTTCATGAGTCTTACGTAGCTGCCTTGCTATGTTGTAATTTTATTGAATTTGTTGTCATTTTTAAAACATTTGTTTGAGAAAATCAAACTTTTTAGTCCCCTCCCCCATTTTGTTTCATATACACGCACACACACACACATATATATATATA